GCCACAAAAATGTTAGAACACCAAAAACACGAATGGATATAGAGATGAGAGCAATCTTAAAGGGATTTTACTAGGAATTTTGTTAGATTTACATTTGGCAGAATTTCATTAATAGCTGGACAAAAACAATTTTAATGCATCCAATCACAGGCTATGGCAAACTGCCTTGGCAAAATCCCCTGTACAAGGGGATTAATTCATGCACAATACTATTAAACTTCATGATTGTATTCTAGGCTAAGAACATAATTTTTATTTTTTAAAAATTAAAAATCACCAGTGGTGGGGATGTTTTATTCATAAAAATTTAAATAAAGTACATCCCTATGCATACACGAACGTCATGTTGACTGCAAATTTATCATACTGAGTTCATTGGGTAGTTGAAGAAACTTAACTCCTAGTTTGATAGTAAACATTATTTCAATATAAACACGAATGCATGAATACGAGACTAGTGCGTGACTATACTCACAAGTCACAATATCTTCTTTTTGTCTAGTAACTTTTAATACTGTATATCAGATTTCTAAATCAAGTATTACAAAATAGATAAAGAAACCAAAGCATAAATTGCACAATGCCACTAAATCCACAACAAGATATGTGGCATTTAGACAATAAAGTATTCGGAACGAACTTTAGGTTCATCTTTAACCTTCTTCGGTGAGTCGAGAGAAGTGATCGGCTTGAAGTAGATTCCAAAGGATCTAACACAAAGATCATCAGCAGTGCCATGGAATCCTCCAAATTGACCTTCTTGTCCCAAATGATAATAGAACTTTGTGTCATTCTCCGAAGGATTACGAAAAGGCCCATTGATTCCCATATTGGTGACAAATGTTATTGAAGTTAGGGTTCCATAGATGATGCAGTTGGTACCACTAACACAAATAAGATACTTTGACGGATAATTGAACTTCACCTGCATGCTCATTATTTTACGAGAGATGATGAAAATGAGTAAATAAGTAAGTTATTGGATTGCGAAAATGAGGAAATAAAAGATTTATTTAAAAATATAATTCACTTTAGTTTAGCTTTACATGCACAACAACATACTGTAAGACGAGTAATTAGGGTTACCAACAAAATAAGTAAACATAAATTTTTTTAGCTAAATTATTCATACTTATCTATAATGTTGCATACCAAACATATCCACAGTCGATAATATTAATGAAACTATACATAGTTTCTTTGAAAAAACGACAAAAAAAATTTGGAGAACTCACAGCAGTAAATTTGATTCCATTAACCCGTCCATGTCCATCAGATAATACCAGGGCTCCATTCTGATCAACATATTGAAATTGAATATAATTGATGATATTATCATGATCCAAGAGAATCTGAACAATTTCGCTTCGACCCTTGTAATCCCAATCTTTTCCAACTTTTTTCACCGGTGGACAAATTTTCATCATATTAGCCGCCTTAGATTATATCCAAGTAACGACCTCTTTTTCAAAATATTTGCCCCTCTATCTCTCTCTTTATATATATATATATATGGAGTTGATATCTGCTGTCCAAACTTTATTTTCTAATTTGTCGTCCATCAATGAATGATTGACACATCATTTTATATTACGGGAGGATAAATGTTTAAAAAAAAAAAATTCAGAATATTCTAAAGGCCGATAGGAATTTGTAGGACTTTGATGCTTTATATCAAAGTTGAAGATTCTTTTCTTGTTTCGAGACATATGTCTTCAATTTTACATATTCCGTGCTTGTTTCCAATTCACATTAAGAGCATATTGTGTTTAGAATTTGTTGCGTGTTGTCATACTTTGCCAATCCACCTGAGCCAATGGCCTACTCAAGCTGAACCACGTGGCACTCTAGCCGAGGTGGCATATATGGCCGAGGTGGGCAATGACCGAAGCCCTTTAGGCCGAAATCCACTAGTCGAGGTGCCTGTTTACCGAGGC